AGAAAGATCCTCCAATAACGCACCTTCAGTGAGAGACAACTTAATATTGGGATCAAATGGCACCGGGGAAGGTTTAGAAGCAAGAACACCAGCATCTTGCAACAATTCCAACGTATATTTACGTTGGTTCAGGAAAATACCTTCTACTGACCGGGCAATCTCTAAACCCAGAAAATATCGAAGTTGTCCAAGGTCTTTAATCTTGAACTGTTGATGTAAGAGATCCTTGACTTTGGTAATCTCTGCTAGAGAGTTCCCAGTCAAGACAACATCATCTACGTATACAAGAAGGGTTGTGAATGGAGAGTCCTTATGTTTAACATATAAGGAATAATCAGCATGAGACTGTGTGTAACGAATAGAAATAAAAAAAGCAGATAATTTGGAGTACCATTGTCGACTGGCCTGTTTAAGACCATAGAGAGATTTTTGCAACTTACAAACCTTTGAAGGAGCAAAACCAGTCAAGCCAGGAGGTAATGTCATGTATACTTCTTCAGATAAATCACCATGTAAAAAAGCATTATTCACATCAAGTTGTTCTAAGTGCCAACCTTTTATGGAAGCAAGAGAGAGAAGAACTCTGACTGTGGTGAGCTTGGCTACAGGCGAAAAAGTGTCGAAATAATCGATTCCTTCCATCTGAGTATAACCCTTGGCCACCAGTCTGGATTTATAACGTTCAATGGAACCATCTGCTTTGTGCTTGACTTTGTACACCCAACGACAACCAATAGGTACTTTACCAGAAGGTAAGTCCACCACTGTCCATGTGTGATTTTCTGCAAGAGCACTAAGTTCAGCATTCATGGCATCAATCCAATATTGTTGTTTAATGGCCTGTTTGTAAGTTTTTGGCTCAGAGGTAGAAGAGATGGAACAGCAGAAATTCTTGTATGAGGGAGAACATTTATCATAAGAAATGACAGAGGAAAGAGGGTAAAGATGATGTTTGAAGGGCTGAGATATGAATTTGTTTTCATCATTGTTAATGTGATAACAATGGAAGTCTGTGAGGTAAGTGGGAGGATGAGATATGCGAGTTGATCTTCTAGGGAGGTGATTTGTTTCTACAGGAAGGTTTATGGTGTCAACAGGTTGGTTTATGGAAATGTCTGCAGAGTCATTGCTGAGACCAGTAGACGTAGAACTGGAAGGAGAAGGAGAGTTTGGTGACACACTAGACAAAGGGGAGGCCTGTTGTTCAATGGATAAAAGGGGAGAACTAGGATTAACATGCGTGTTTGGCTGAATGGAGGTGTGTGAAGTATCACTATCAGTGAACTGTGGCTGTGAGCTAGGAGAGGAAGTACCATTATCAAGGTACGCAGAAATATCAGTAGAGGAAGGACTATGATGTGACAATTCAGTGTCAGTATAAAACTGAGTAGGAGAAGTAGAGGAAAATTTTGTTGCTTTTGCACAAGACTCAGTAGTTTTAAGAGGGAATGTGTGCTCATAAAAAACAACATGCCTAGAGACAAAAATACTATTGTTTTGAAGATCATACAAGATATATCCTTTTGTTCCATCTTTAAAACCAAGAAAAACTGTTTTTCGAGCTCTTTGATCAAATTTTGTTTTGTGTTGTTGATTGGATACAACATAGCTAAGACAACCAAAGACTTTGAGGTGAATTAAGGAGGGAGGTTGTTTATACATCATTTCGTATGGGCATTTGAAATTAAGTAGAGGAGTGACAAGTCTATTATTAAGATGAATAGCATGCTGAATACAGAAACTCCACATATTGAGTGGAAGTTGAGACTGAAAATATAGAGCTCTAGCCACATTCAAAATGTGCTGATGCTTGCGCTCAACCACGCCGTTTTGTTGTGGTGTGTAAACACACGATTTTTGATGTATTATTCCTTTGGACATAAACAGACTGGAAAGAGCTAAGAACTCAGTCCCATTATCAGACCGAAAACATTTTAGAGCAGCATTGAATTGATTTTTTATATAGGCAAGGAAATGAACTATGTGTTGCTGAACTTCAGTTTTAGTTTTCAGAAAAATAACCCAAGTATAACGGCTGAAATCATCAACGAGAGTCAAGAAATATTTATGACCTAGCATGGATATAGTAGAGAATGGACCCCATAGGTCAGCATGTATCAATTCAAATGGAGCCATAGATTTTGAAGTACTATTAGAAAAAGATAACTTCTTTTGTTTGCTAAATTGACAAGAATCACAAGGAAGTTTATTATTACAATTGTAAGGTATAAAAGGAAAAGATTTAGACATATGTTGTAAACCAATATTGGAAATATGGCCTAATCTTAGATGCCAAAGAGAAGTGTTATCATGTGTAGAAGAATGGCAGGCATGGCTGGGATGTGAGGAGTCCAGAACATAAAGACCTCGCTGAAGATTAGCTGTACCAATCGTTTCCTTGGAATACTTCTGCAGAATTTTGCAGGAATTATCAGTGAAATGCACCACACAATCGTTGCTTTGAGCAAGTATAGCTATGGAGAGTAAATTGACACTAAAGCTAGGGATGTAAAGGACATTATGAAGGGTCGAGGAGGAGGAAATAACAACACTACCAGAAATGGATGTGATGACTTGTGAGCTATTAGGAAGACTAACACTAATAGGCACGATACTTTTGTATGAAATAAAATTAGACTTGTCAAAAGTGATGTGATCTGTAGCTCCTGTGTCAAGGATCCACAAGTGGTTGTTCTTACCATTATTAGAATGAGAGTGGGAATTGAGCACAAAGGGTGAAGAGGTGATGGAGTTGGCTTTGGGAGTGGCTTTGGATTGTTGGATTAGTTCCATAATGCTGTGAAGTTGCTCTTGTGTAAAACCAGAAATGGATTGAGATGGACTGTTATCTGGTGCAGCTTGCCCTGTTTCATTGGAAGCGACAGATTGAGCATTAAATTGAGTGGACTTACCCTTTCCTTTAAAACCTGGTGGATATCCATGTTTTTGAAAACAAGTTTCCATTGTGTGGTTGGTGCGGCCACAGTGGGTGCATAACCTGTTACCACTCTTTGCAGCTCCATAACCATTGCCTTTGCTCTTGAAGTTTCCATGCCTTGGATTGTTATTACCCGTTGCTGCATTGAGATGGAGAGCTGTGGCTGTAGAGTCTTCAGAACCAGAATCTATTGGGACTGCAACTGAAGAAGAATTAAGCTCTCTTTCTTGTTGAATGACAAGAGCAAAAGTTTTGTCAATATCCGGAAGAGGACTCATCATCATGATTTGAGTTTTGGATTGTGCAAACTTCTCATTCAAACCCTTGAGGAAACGAATCACATAATCTTGCTCTCGATATTTACGAAAGGAAGAAAGAGCTCCACAAGAGCATGGAATAGCACAAGTACAGGCAACAATAGGACGATAAGCCTCCAATTCATCCCACATCACCTTCATCTTGGTGAAGTAATTAGACACATCAAGATTTCCTTGACGAAATTTGTAGAGTTCCTCTTGAATATCAGAGATGCAGAAGATGTCACCTTGCGAGAACCGAGTTCGCAAGTTTCGCCACACTCCAACTGCACTTTCAATCCAAAGAACCGATTTCGCTATGGACTCAAAGATAGATCGATGAATCCATGCTAAAACCATAGTATTGCATCTGATCCAAGGCGCATAGAGCACATCAGACACATGTGGTTTTGGAAGCGTTCCGTCGATGAATCTTTCCTTGTTCTTCGAGATGAGAGCAATGTGCATGGATCTTGCCCATGTATGATAGTTCTTATCATTTAGGAGAGGAGTAACAAGGATGAGAGACGGATTCTCGTTCGGGTGCAGATAATAGGGATTGGATGAATTTGTGGCAAAATCGGTGAAATTCTGGAACGCCATCGAAAAAGGTAAAAAAAAAAAACAAGATCGATTGCAGAGAGAAGTAGTGATTGCAGAAAAGAAACGAATCTCAAGGATGAAGATGAACAATAGCGATTGTATGCAATAACCAGAGCTGAGGAACAAGAAAGCTGCAATCGAAGCGAAAATGGAAGAGTTTTACCATAAGAAAATGCGATGGCTACCAGAGCTTTGAAATCTCTGATACCATGTTAATGGTGTAAAACATACCATGAAACTCCATGAAGAAGATGAAGCCAATAACAGAAAACTAACTGAATAACAGAATCAGTTAAATGATAGATTTCATATACTTCATTGATTATCTCAATAGGTTACAAATGAGCTTATATATAGAATAAAATGACTGAACCTTATCACAAATGTGTGATAGTAAGCTAAAGGTAAGGTGCTGATGTGACATTGTAACTAAAAGATATAAACCTACTATGTATAGTATAAACTATACTCTATACATTGAAGTAAAGCAGTTAGAGGAAAGTACACTATATTAACACTTTTTTAAGAGAATTTAATTTTATAACAATAAAGTCATATCTAAAAATTATTTTAATTATTTCAATTGCATAAAATATGAAAAATAGATTAAACACTTTTGCGCAATGCAAAAGTCATATTCTAATTCAAATAAATAACCAGTTGCGATTTTTTATCCCTTTTTCTTTGTATTTTACTTTGCATTTATCAAATAACACAAAATTATATAATTAACACTTAGGGTTAAATAGCCTCTATTTAAAACATTAAAACAATATATAATCATAATTGAAAACATAGAAATTTCTAATACACAAATAATAAAAAGATTAACAGCCAATGTTCCATGGAGTCGTTTTCCCCATATAAATTCAAAAATCCAAATGCATCATGTTAGCAATTTCTTAGTTCTCATCAATATTTTCAATGAAGCCAAATAATCAGAAAAAGAAAACACTTGTTTTTAACAAAGAGTAATGTATAGTTCTAAATTAAGTCATATATGGCCGGCATATAACCAGCTCATTATTTGCATGTACAACTTTGTCATTGCCACCCTTTAAAGTTCAAACCATTGAAGTTCAATTTCCAATGCATACTCTATTTCATATATCTCCCACTAACCCTCTTCTTTATTTTCATTCCATTTTTTTGTTCATTCAATGATGGCTCATAAAACACCATACTATTGCATTTTCACACTCTTTATGTTGTCTACTTATTTTGTGCCAATTTTTGGTGACACAAATGGTCAAATTTTGATAAGGTTCAAAAGCTTTTTGTCTAATAACAATGCTTTAAACAATTGGGTTGATGAGTCTAATCTATGCAATTGGGCTGGTTTATTATGCACAAACAACAATTTTATGGATTGAGGTTAGAAAATATGGGACTTGGTGGGAAAATTGATGTAGACACATTGTTGGAATTGACAAACTTGGTTAGTTTTAGTGTCATGAATAATTCATTTGAGGGTCCAATGCCTGAGTTCAAAAAGCTTGTGAAGTTAAGGGGATTGTACTTGTCTAATAATAAATTTTCTGGTGAAATTTTAGATAATGGTTTTGAGGGTATGGTGAATCTTAAAAGGGTATTTTTGGCAGGAAATGAATTTAATGGTCATATTCCTTTTTCACTTACTTCTTTGACTAGACTTTTGGATTTAGACTTGCATGGTAATAGTTTTGGAGGTAATATACCTGAATTTCAACAGAATTTTTTCAGAATTTTTGATTTGTCTAACAATCAATTGGAGGGACAAATACCAATTAGCTTAAGCCATGAGCCCTTAACCTCATTTTCAGGTAAGTGAAAAGGGTCATTTTTTTCCCTCTCTCATCAACCTATCAACATGCTTAATTTTTGTTATTGGAGTTCTTTTATGAGTGACGGATTCATAATTCAATACAAAAACAATTATCATCTAGTAGGATTTACAATCTTAATAGTTGATCTGTTGATGAAAGTTTGAGTCTTTAGAGTGCGTTCAACTCAAATTCTCATATTTAAATTTTGGTAGATGCTAGTAATCTTTGTGTTGAGTCAATTCAAACATAATTTTACTCTAATTTTAAATGAGTTTTATTAAGTGAGATTGATTTCTTTGAATCAATCTCTTTTAAGACCGGACTGATACAAAGTTTTCAAAAATAAATTAAATTATTAGACCTTTCTTTTTGGCTTAATAATTGTTATTTTCAAATGTTTTTTGACTTGAAAAGAAATTCAATATAATGTATTTGTATTGTTTTTATCTAATTTCTTTCTTGTGTAATGCAGGCAATAAAGGCCTGTGTGGGAAACCTTTGAATCCATGCAACATTTCTCCAACCAAATCTAATGTGCATCCCAATTCACCTCCTTCAAACTCAAAGAAATAGAAATAAACAAATTAGTACTTAATTGTTTTACATTTCATTTCACATTTTTTTGTCTTATTCTATAATTTGTGTTATATGTATTATTTTGAACACATGTATTTAAAAATGTATTATACTATTTAAAAATAAAATATATAATACTTAAAAATATAATATATTTAAAGTAATATATTTTATATATTGTATTTACGATAAATTTTATGAGGTTTTTATTTTAGTTTTTTTATAAAAAGTAAAAAAAAGATTTGTTTAGTGCCGGATAGTGCGCAACACATATAGAGGTGGACTCGAGTCATATAATTTGGAGTATATAACAAAATCGAGTTTTTTTGTCTCGATTCTATAAAGCCTGAGATTTATTATGACCGACCTATTTAGGACAAAGTAGTATGTTTTGACGACTCTAACCATAGGCACGTTCTAAGGTGTATGTGTATATAGAGAAAACAAGAGAATGAATCAAGTACTACTCCCTCAAATAACCGGGCAAAACTAAATTTTCTTGGCCATAATGTTTTATCCTGCAAGGCTATTGTTTTGGGGATTATTTCTCTCACCCTTAGTGGTGGAGAGCCACTCAAATAAATTTGAAAACTCCCTTCATGAAATCAGAAGTATACTTTCAGACATACTTCAAATACATCAAATTTATGCGTAAGTGTCCCACACTCTCATTTTTTCATGAATGAGTCTAAATATGCATCTACGTAATAACTCAATATAAATGACTTATCTTTGTAAGTGAATATCACCCTTTAGCAATAAAATTTAACATTTTTTAAGAAATACATTGTAATATGCCATGTATTATAAGTGCACTATCATGATAAACTTTGTATCAATTAAATCATACACTGATGTAATAAGCTTAAAATACCATATATTAGATCAATCCACAATATTATCAAATTGAAAAATTACAAAACCACAATAATATTCATAACTCACATTACAAATACAATCAAATACTATTAGGTATATCAGACTCCCTTGTTCCTTCTTTGTCACTTGTGTTACAATGGCGTCTGTGTCTCAGATAGAATGACATTTATAGTGGCTTTCACATGAGTTCCTTCTAGAATGTATCATGTCTCTATACCCGCTCGCACAATAGACTCTATACGATGACATGCATGTAACACATCAATAACATAATATGCCCTAGTCTGCTTCACTTATAATATCTTTTGATGAGCTAGCCTACATGGATATTTATGAGCATTTGGTGTCATGTAAGAATGTGACGCTTTAAAATACCATCAGATATAACCGAATATAGTACTCCATGGATGAGGGGCTGACACACTGCATACATCCTCTAAGACCTGTGCAACATCACCATTGGCCTCCACTTCCACAACTAGGTGGTGTACACATAGGTTATCTAGGAATACAATTCTAGCATGACACCCTTTGGTGTCTTCTAGATCCTTTAAGGCATCCTCGGGGTCATGTCCCCAATTGGCCGCCATTGTAACACCCCAAAATCTAGATTTCTTGATTTTATTGATTATTTATGATTTATGATGAATATTATGTGACTTGATGATGATATATTGTGGGGTAGTAAGTGGGATAGAGGTGCTGATTAGAATTATTTAGATTTAATAATTATAATTTATATTATTTAGAATTATTATAATATTAATAATTAAAAAATTGGGCGTGTAGAGATGTTAAGGGCACAATGATAATACTATGAGGATAAGTGAGGGCATAAGAGGAATAACATAGAAATGATCTAAGATTAACAAATAAAAAGGAAAATAAGAGAAATAGGGAATCATTCTGTACGGTCGTGAAAAGTTGGAGAAATTGAGAATCAGCTAGGACATATAGAAATGAATAGTAGATTCATTCCTTAGAGTTCGAAGAGATCAAAGTTGTTAGGAATTTGAGGTAAGGGGTGGACACTATCGACATGTTGTGTTTCTAATGTTAGTTGTTTATACGCAGAGTTATGGCTGAAGGAAGAAACAAAGATGATATTGCTTAGGCTTTGGAAGCAATGGCTCAAGCTCTGCAAAAGCAACAAGGTTCGCGGGGTCAGAATGAAGGAAATGATGATGAAGGTCGTGCATGGGGAAGGTTTCATAGGACAACCCGCTTATCATACACTGATGTTTCTTTGTCGCCCATTTAGAATTCAGATACAATACAGATACACTCCAGACACGGCAGTCATTCTGATATTCATTCAAAGTTCGAATACAGTTACAACTCAGATACGCTTCAGACACGGATGCCATTCTTTCACTCATACATACTCAGTCTCCAGATATAGTTTAAATGCATTCCAGACACGGATACCATTTTAATGCTCATTCTTCTGACCTACCACATTGCAATTCAACAAACATTCTTGGATGGCATCTTTAAGCCCATCTTCAGCAAGATTCTACCATCTTTAAATGGTATCTTTAAGCCCATTTCCTCAGCTATATTCTGACGAGTGCAAATTTACGGGCACTCTAGTGTCCAATCCTCTTTTACCTTCGAGTCGCGAAAGGCAAACTTGCCAATCTAACTCTTCAGGTTCAAGAAGATTGAACAGGGGAAACTGTTTTACCCCAAAATTTTCCCTCTCATTTCATCAACATTTTTCATCACAAGACTCTTGGAACTCAAGATCAAGTTAGGGTTTGCTCTGCTCAAGACACCTTCTTACACTGTTAACCTAAATTAGGGTTTGAGTTTGCACAGTGATATTTTGACCAAAAATGCCCAAATTGACTTTCATACTTCATGTTGGACTCACAAGTTTGTCCATACCAATTTTCAAGCCTTGATTCAAATTTTTGCCCAGTCAATTGGCCAGTTGACCTAGAAATCAGTTGTATTGGGGAAAAAGTCAACTGTGGCCAATTGACAGTCAAACCTCATGAAATTTGACCCACATCAACATTATGAACTAATATGAACCATTTGATCAAGTTTGGATCATAATTCCACAAGAAATTTGATCAGATCATCAAAAGGGCAAAATGGTCATTTTTAGGGTTTTGACTGTACAAAGGCAATTTTTGACTGTTTGACTTAACCAATGGCAAATCAAGCTCAACCATGGAATAAAGGACTCAATGGAATTGTCTTGACCCATTCAACAAATTCAAAAGATCTCAAATGCATAGGATTGATAGATGAATTTTTCAGTCAACTGATCAAATTTGACTGTATACTGAAAAGTCAAACTTTGACTTTTTGGTCAAAATCAAGTGCCAAGAATCATTTTTCATCAAGACATGTCAAATTATGAAACTTGTTCATCAAGAAACCCAAAAAGGCAAATTAGGGTTTAAAATGGAAAATTTTCATAACTTAGAAATTTTCTAAGTTATAAAATTTTCTTATTTTTTCCTAACTTTGTCCCATTTTTTCACCAAGATGCAAATGGATTCAAACAAAACTTGAAACATGAAAGATGTATTCCATCACAAATTCTACAACTTTGATTCACAATGTTTTCTCAAAAGAAGCTTGTATCTCAAGTTATGATTTTTGGAACAAGGGTACCTAAAACTTTTAACTTAGAAAATTTTTGCCCTAGTTTAGGCAGGATTTTGACCATCTTCTTGGCCATTTTTCACATAGTTCCACTTGGAGTTTCAAGTTGCATTTCAAATATGGAATATAGTACATGTTGCAAGCTTTCTAAATTTTCGAAGAACTCCTCAAACACCTTTGTGGTTAGGGAGAATCGAATGCTTGAAGTTGGCAAAAACTCACTTTGATCCATGGCCAATACATGTTCATACAACTTGCATTTTCAAATCAGCATGCTTTGTACTAGCTTGCAGGCCTCTAAACCATTTTACACTCCTTAATTTAATGCAAATCCACTGAGCTAAGGCATTATCTTGGTCATTTGGACATTGCATGCAAAACTAATCCCTATTTGGAAAAAGGTATAATGCCATTTTTGTAAAGTTACACTTTATGTCAAACCAAGATCTTTGAGGCATGGGGCCATATCTCTGAGGCAAGATCAAATCCACAAATTGCAAGAATCAAGGGCAAAAGATGCAGCATACAAGGTAGGCATTACAGGCCTGCATTGACAAGTTAGACATTCTTGCTTCACAAAGAAGAAATTGTCAAAAATCCTCCCAACTTGAAAACCAGTCATTGTTAGCTAAAACAAAGATCACAAACACATTTCACACAACCCTTTGAGTCAGAAGCACGAGCCTTTCACCCCTATAGCACCCTCATACCCAAAATCACCATTTTTCTGCAAAACAGGGCAAGCCCTGCAGAACCACACCCATCTCCACTTTCCCTCGTGCGTTTTGCCTCAAACTTATTCCAATACCTTCCACTCAACTCACCTGAACTATCCCAGACCTCCATTGCTAGCTTTAACACCATTAACACACATTTCAATTTTTGTTTCAAAGCTTTGCAGGTTGAGTTCTGTAGCACGATTCAAGCTGTTTCAAAACAAACTAAGCATTGGAAAAGCTTCATTGGACATCAGGCAAGCTCAAAAGAACCTCAAGCACCCTTGGAAGTTGCTGCATTGTCCAGCTCGAAGTCAGTTGAAACAGGTATTTCATGAACTTCTATCTCCTTATTTAGGAATAGTTAGACTTAGGTTTGTGAATGAAAGATGTTGTACTCATAGCCCTGAAACCATACATGTGCTTAGTTTTCATTTAAATTAATCGTGCAAGGAGAATTTTGTTCATGAACTTTTTGAAAAAACTAGGTTAAGATTTAGGGCCAGAGAAATTCTCTCTGGTCTTTGAGAGTTAACTTAAGTTTTTTATATGGTTGGATTCGTTGCTTGATGCTCTACAAGTTTCATGTTATGAGTTTTGTCAAAAAGTCAAGGAATCAGGAGATAGCAGTTGATGTACAGAACGCGCGTTTTTTGTGAACTCAGGAAGAAGATGAAGTTACTTGGGCTGGGCCTGTTTGCTTTTGTTTCTCACACATACATTTTCAGTTTACACCCCCCTGGCCCATTTATTTGTATATTTGTCATTTTGATATTTTTA